TTCGCTTATTACCTATTTTCAGTCAAATTTTGAAATTTAAGGCTAGGGCTAGAACCTTACCTTTTGGTTGAAGACCTTGTGAGTTACCCTAGAGAATTCTTCAAGGCTTGAGCAAAGATTGATGAACAAGTGACTTGGAAATTCCTTTTCTCACTCTAGACCACGTTCATCTCTCTAAAATATAAGTTTGAACCTTCTAAAATGATCTCTAAGACTGTTTTATAAGAATGGGGTCGGGTTCAAAAATTAAAAAAAATGAAGCCCCAATGCATATATGCAGTCGCATATGCGACCGCATAACACTTCTGCGGTCCGCAAAATGGACCGCATAATGGCCCTCCGGAACTAGGCACTTCTGCCTCACTTTGCGACCAGTTTGTGATCCGCAGACCTATTATGCGGTCGCATAATGTGCTGCAGAACTTCCCTCCGGAATGTTTTTGTGTCGGGTCTGCGATGGGTTATGCAACTCGCAAAATGATTATGCGGCCGCATAATGGATCGCATAATGGTCCAAATATTTGCCCAAGTTTCTACTTCAATCTGCGGTCCGCAGATCAGTTCTGCAACCGCATAATGGATCACAGAAACGCCCTGCACTTCCAAAAATTTTCTGCAACTCCCCAACGCACTGTTCAACCCAAAAGTCTACTTCGGCACCACGAAAGCATGAGCTTTAGGTAAAATTTACGGGGCCTTACAGATAATTACAGACGTCTCTGTACTGATCTTCCAAACTCTACTAAGCTTTCCCGTGACTCGTGAGACATACGCAACCTAGTACTCTGATACCAACTTGCCACGACCCGGAATTTCCACGCTCGAGATCGTGATGGCACCTAACATTTCACTTGCTAGGCAAGCCAACGTTAGAAGAGTTTTTAGCCATTTTTGATAATTCAAATGAACTAATACCGAGTAAACTGAGTGGACTGAAATAAAACTGAAATAGAGTGAGAAAACTCATAATAATAGCAATATCTAGATACAATCCTAGAACTGGTGTCACAAGTACACGAGCGACTAGAATAATACAAATAATGATTTGAATGAAATTATAATTGTCTGAAATTAAATGAACAACTAAAGATAGGTGGAAGGGGGTACTTCAGGGCTGCGAACATCATGCAAATGTAACTTAAGTCTCTGAACCGGCAATCAATCCGAGCAATCTACTGACCGCCGCTAAGACCGACTCTAAAATCAGCACAAAAAGTGCACAGTGTAGTATGAGTACAACCAACCCATGTACTCCGTAAGTGTCTAGCCTAACCTCGACGAAGTTGTGATGGGGCTAAGGCGAGTCACTTACATTAACCTGTATGTAGTGATAATAATAATAATAATAACAGAAAAGACAGGAATGAAAGTAAAGCAGGCAACTCATATCAACGAACTCAACCTCAACTAACAGAGAGTCCCAAATGACAAGCCATATAACTCACATCAACAACTGAGGCCAAACCAACAATCAGAACAAATATAACTTTTATCAATATGTTGCGGCTTGCAACCCGATCCCACAATATAAACTTTAAATAAATTGTTGTGGCGCGCAACCCGCCTACTCCATATAATCATCTGTCAATATCATAGTCCATCCTTGTTCCGCCTTCTCAATTCATTTCTTTTCAGTTTCCGTTGCTACGTGCAACCCGCTCCCCAAATAATATCAATTAACAATAGTAACCCAATAATTAAGATTTACAAGAATTCATACATCAAGAGAACAAATGTACGAGCAATGGAAAATAACATGATAATCAAAGAGACTTGAACTGCTCGGATGTATCAACTTACCAACTCAACAGTATCTAGTTTTAACAATATGTACCAGTGAAACTACTTCAATGAAGGCAACAATTAATATGAAACTAAAAGGAAACAAGCCAACAAGGCATAAGACAATTAGATATATGAGGGAAACAAATAGAGACAAGTAGTAAATAAGTATGGAATTAGGGAGGGGATGAACAATTTAATATGAGAAATTCTAAATAGCAAGTAGCAATTATGGCATGGAAGTAAAAAAAAATATGTAGTAATTAAGGCATGAAACAAGACGTAATATGAAGCAATGAAGAAAGGGAAAATAAGTAATGTAACGGTTAAGTCATGAAATAAAGTAATTAATGAAATACGGAAAAGCGTGGAAACAAGTAATTCGACGGCGTATATACACTAATTACCTCGCATATATGCCGCTATATATGCAATTCACATAGCACATAGCTCAATGGTTCCTAATTCCCTCAAATCAAGGTTAGGCCCAACACTTACCTCACTCCGCAATCAACTCAAAGTTCAATCACGATCTTGCCTTTCGAACAAGCCTCCAAACTAATCAAATCTAACAAATTATTAACCAAACAATTCAAAATAAGCCTTAAAAACTACCCACGAATGAAAGAGGTTCAATTTAGATCATTGTTGAAAACGTCAACAAAAGTCAACCCCAGGCCCGCTTGGTCAAAATCAAAATTCGGAACAAAACCCGAATGCCCATTTATCCCCGAGCCCGGTTATGTAATTTGCTTCGAAATCCAACCTCAATTTGAGGTCTAAATCCCAAATTTACAAAAATTCCTAATTTCTACAATGAAAATCCTAGATTTGATATCGAAAATTTGTTAAATGTAATGGGTAATTGAAATGAAGTAGATTAAAGTCACTTACCAATGAGTTTAGGAAGAAAATCTTTTGGAAAATCACTTATGGGGTGTTTAGGGTTGAGAGTTTGAAAGAAATTAGCCAATTCCCATTTTACCCCTCTTTTACGAGTTGCGGATGTCGCAATTGCGATATCTTGTTCGCAATTGTGAACATCGCAAATGCGAGAATGAGGTCGCAAATGCGAACCCTTCTCAAAAGGTCATTCATCACAAATGCGAACCCATGCCACTCGCAAATGCGGACCATTCCTTCGCATATGCGAAGGTAGCCCAGCACACACTGAGTCGCAATTGCGACTCTGCCTTCGCAAAAGCGGCAACAACAAGTTCGCAAATGCGAACAATTTCCTCGCAATTGCAAGTCCAGCCCAACCAACCCATGCTTGCAAATGAGACATGTTCTTCGCAAAAGCGAGGCTCGCATTTGCGAGCCAGAGCTCACTATTTGCGAGATGTGCATATAACACTAGAAACAAAAATGCATCATCTATGCTTCTAAGTCAAAAACCACTTTGTAGCCTATCCGAAATTCACCCGAGGCCCCCGGGTTCACATGCACACAAGTATAATAACATCATGCGAACTCGCTCGCGTGATCAAAACACCAAAATAACACCTAGAACTATGAATAAGATACCAAAACGAATGAAATTTTTAAAGAAACTTAAGAACATACAATTTCTCAACCGAACGTCCGAATCACGTCAAATCAACTCCGTTTTGCACCAAAATTTGTAGACAAGTCATAAATACCGTAATGAACTTATATCAAGTTCCAAAACTAAAATTTGAACCCGATAGCAATAAAGTCAACTTATAGTTAAACTTAGGAATTCTTTAAACCTTTAGATTTTTAGTTTTCAATAAATTATGTTAAATCAAATTAGAGACTTCCGAATTCAATTTCGAGCATACGCCCAAGTCCCAAATCACGATACGGGCCCACCGGGATCGTCAAAATACTGATTCACTTTCGTTTGCTCAAAACGTTGACCTAGGTCAACTCAAATGAGTTTTAAGACATGATTTCACATTTTCATAAATTTTCTCATAAAAACCTTCCGGAAAAAGACATGGACTTCACACACAAATCGATGAAGGCTAAACGGAGCTATTCGAGGTTTCGGAACACAAAAATAAAGGGTAAAACTATAAATGACATATCGGATCATCACATTTTTAAGTTTGAACTCATTCAAGTTTTGTGATATGTTTTCACGAGTGATTTATTTGTTGTTCCATTCCTAATAACCCCTTAGGTAGTTTGTTTTGCCAATGTGGATTGCTCTCATGACTTGTGCGATTGCTCTTATTGATGAGTACTTGAAGATGTTTCTGCATCAAAGTTGCCAACAACTTCATTAAGAAAGAAATTATACTATTATTTTTTAAGATTTATTTTAAATATATTATCTCTCTGTTCACTTTTACTTGTTCACTATTTAAAAGTATATTTTCACTATTACTTGTCTATTTTAGCAAATCAAGAGAAAAATAATTTTTTTTTCATGTTTTATCCTTATCATTAATTAATAATTCCCCGAATTATTTTTCAAGACATTTTGAAATGTTATCATTATTATGAGTAAAATTGTAAAATACGCACTTTATTTATTTTTTCTTAAAGGAAGTGCAAATTAGTAGACAACTAAACGTACAGATGGAGTATTTACTCTGTAGAAGCACAAATAATGATTTCAAAGGCTTTCCATGATAAACATTATTTCAAATATTAGAGCTAATAGCCTGGTGGTGCTTCTTTTGAGTCAATTTTTATTTTTGTTTTTTTGGTGAAACGTGCTTTTGTTTGGCCAAACTTATAAAGGTAAAAAAAGTGATTTTGAGTAAAAACAGAAACACTTTTTGAGAAGCAAAAAACAAATAGCTTCTTTCCAAAAATAATTTTTTGAAAAACACTTTAAAAAAAATATACTAAAAGTTTGACCAAATATTTACTTTTAAGTGCTTCACATTTTGTACTATTCATGGACCGGAGATGACAGATTGTCTTTTTTTTTTGGTTAACTAATTAATTCCTTGAAATTAGATATTTGCTCATAAAAGAAATGCATCAATAATCAATTGCAGGCAGAACATCATCAGAAGAAAAATTGTAAAATATTGTTTATGATTAATTAGAGCACCCTATTAAATAAAATAACATTTGACCCCTCAGGTAATCACTGACCGGAAGTTGAAAATGCTATTGTTTTAAACTAAGGGGGACGTGTTTAATTTTAAGGCAAACTTGAGGGACGAAAAATGATTTTCACCCTATATAGAATACTGAAAGTTACAATATTGCACAGAATTAAATCCGGTCGGGCCGGTCATCCTCTTCTTACGTTCAATAAACCCTCTCTAAACCCTAGTACAAGAACGTAAGACCAGAACATACAGAAACAGAGGCAGTCATAAAAAATATTACAACAGTTGAGCTTGAAGATAAAACCCTAAGCAAAAGAAAAAATGAGGAAGAAAGTGGATGAACGCATAAGAACCCTAATAGAAAATGGAGTTAGAAATCGTCACCGTTCTATGTTTGTCATTATCGGTGACAAATCCCGTGACCAGGCACTTACCAATTCCTCTTTTATTATATCTCTGTAAATTTTGTGAAAAAAATTGAACTTGTTTCTAATTCTTCACTTCTATTTATTTTGTAAAACAGATTGTTAATTTGCATTACATGTTGAGCAAAGCTGTAGTGAGGTCACGGCCTACTGTGCTTTGGTGTTATAAGGACAAACTTGAACTTAGCAGGTTCGCTACTTACTCCAATTTTGCTTTTTTTACTTTTTCCATAGTGGATATAATCTGTTCTTGTTAAGTTTTGTCCTCTGTATGAAATATGAATTGGTTAATTCCATGGGGAAGTTAGATTAAATCTTGTAACGGAAACTCAAATTAGCTACCGTGGATTTTATTCGATACAATGAAACTTTGAAAAAGATCAATGAAGCTGCTTCACCAAAATTCTTGACTTTGATGTAGCAGTTATTCTGTATAGTTATTTGTTGGTATATGGATTGGGAGATCTGGTTTTATAGTCCATTACAAATGTTATTTTAGTGAGGTGGAATACATCGACACCCCATTAAACTTGTCGAACTAAGACATGTTCCAATTGGCACCTGAATACATGATAACGTGTTCCTATTAGACACTTCCAGGTCAAATTTTGGAAAAGCTTATGCGTGTGTTCTCAAATTCCCATTATGTGGATAACTTAACTACTTAAAGTGTGCCATCTCCTTTAATTATACACATCATATATAAGCTTTTGCTGTAATAACAAAAACAAGATAGGTCAGTTAAAAAATAAAACTCAAATCAACTAAAAACAAACTCCTGCTTCGTTAAATAAAAAACGCGCTCTGTTAAAAGAAGAAAACCAAGAGCCATTTGCCAAACTCTCCCCAATGAGTGTCTAATAAGAACACTTTATCATGTGTTCAGGTGCTCAGTTTGAACGATCCTGAGTTCGAGTGTCTTAAGATATATTCCGCCTTTTAGTTATATGACCTTTTCTACAGGACATCAACAAAAACAGGGATTTGTAAATTAAACAGAGGAGATCTTTGTAGAGTCATTTGTTTCTATTCAAATTAAAAGTGGGTGTAGGAAATCACTTCCTCAGTTAGATGTTAGGGAAGAAATGTAAAATTCTATTTTGAATATTAAAACTTTAGTCACTCTATTTGTTGTGTAAAAAATTAGTTTTAGCTATATATATGGCGTAAATTTACTGGCAAATTGCAGGTGAGTGGAACGAATGCTAGGTCATTGTTTTTTAGAGGTTATTATATTGGGTTGATTATCTTGTGAGCTTGACTGACAGAAAATAGGTTGTTTTGATTAAGACATTGCACAATGATCCGAACACCTTGTCGCATCTCTTCGATACGAATATAGTAACGATCATAGCGATCTCCTCTGGTACTTACTGGTATGTCAGGATCCAATTGGTCATGAACATCGTAAGGTGCTGCTTTTCACAAATCCCAGCATACCCCAGAACCTCATAACATTATACCGTTGAATCCCCAATCCTTTGCTTGCTGTGCGGTGACAATGCCATTTCATTAGGACAACACTTGCTTGGTCTTTTTCTAGCTTGATTGAGAAGCATGGTTTGGAAAGGTCAGTTGAAAGACTGTACATATCAACATTCAAACCTATCCCTTTGTGGCTGCCTTTTGAACTTCTTCCATATTAGGAGGACTCGTAAGCATCTTATTATCTTCAGAGGATTCACTTTCTGAAATTCCAAGTAACATGATTCCTCCTTCAGAAGCTAAAGTTGAATGATGAAGTCTCCTTTAGGTTCAGTCGAAGAGATCGAAGCGAAGTCATCAATTCAACCATTCGAATGGTCTCCCCTACGATTGACCTCTTTTCCAAATAAACCGAACCTTGATACCACACCTTCTCGGGTGGAGGTTGATTGAAGATAATGTGATGCAAGTGAACGCCTACGAAAAAGTTGTCGTAAAGTTTTCTTCTTCTGTCATTGTTTGTTTTTTGGTTGTCTGATCACACTCAAAATTATGTATCTACTTATCGTATTTTTACCCCTGTTCAGTAGTTTTGTAGCAGCTTGTTTCCAACGTTTTCTAGGAAAAGAAGTGTTCGCCTCAGTTTTTCAGTGGATGTTATTAGTCATTTAGACAGTTTGTCATCAATGATAGAGTCAAACATCTTCTTGCAGTCACAAGCAAAAGAGAAAGAAGCAAGTGAAAAAATATATGCAGAGGGGATTACTGGACCCTGAAAAAGTAGAGCCTTTTGAACTTTTTGTTGAAACTGGAGGCGTCAGCTATTGCTTGTATAGAGATTCAGAAAGAATTCTAGGAAACACTTTTGGCATGTGTATATTGCAGGTAAATGAGAGGTTTTATATGTCCATAAACTATTTGNAATTTCCATAAAATATTTGAAGCAGATCGACTACCTATTTCCTCTTTCAAGGCCTCTATGTGATTGTGATCTTCTGGAAAATTTCATTTCTTTTCCCCTATGATGTTCTAGGATTTCGAGGCTTTGACACCCAATCTTCTTGCGAGAACAATAGAGACAGTTGAGGGTGGTGGGCTAATTGTATTGTTGATTCGCACTTTGTCCTCTCTTAAGAGCCTCTGCACCATGGTCATGGTAAGCTCCAATCCCAACTGCTCTGCTTTCTGGGCTGGAAAACTTTGAATAAATATTAGATTAATGATGTCTCTTCCCTTCTTACTTCTTATTTGTTTTTTCTTTCTTGCTCTTTTGTTTGTTAAATAAGATTTCAACTTATCTCACACACACATACACAAACAAAAAGAAGAGTATTTGAATGAAGAAGCTACTACTAGCTTTCAGATTGCTAATTGATTTTCTATGCGTGTTTAATCTTAATACTCATAAGGTTTGTGAAAATGCAGGATGTTCATGACAGGTTTCGTACAGAATCCCATTCACAGGCTACCCCTCGCTTTAATGAGCGATTTATACTCTCCCTTGCATCATGTGAATCCTGTATTGTCATGGATGATGAACTAAATATTTTACCTATCTCCTCCCACATGAAGAGTATTACTGCTGTTCCAGTTCAAGAGGTAAACTTCTCCCTGGATCAGTATGGTCGTGATTGTTCTGTTTACTGATTTCTTTATCTTAGATGATATGCACTGATTCAGATGATAGTCCATATAAATTATGGTTCTCACATATAATTACACCATATCAGATGTTGAACTGCGAAAAAATTACTCTTTCTGGAGTCGCTTTTAGTACAGGGTAAACTATCTTTGATAATCTCTTGATTAAGCATTCATAATTCTTTCGTTGATTTACTTTGATGAAGGATTCTGAGGGGCTTTCGGAAGCAGAAAGGGAGTTAAGGAATTTAAAAGAACAATTGAATGAAGACTTCCCTGTTGGTCCTCTTATTCGGAAATGCTGTACCTTGGACCAGGTTAGTTACTGTGCTTGAGCTGTGAGAATTGGCATTTGTTTCTCAATTGTTCTCTGAGTATGTCATGCGTAGCTAATTAATAGTCTACTTGGAACTAACCCCCAGGATAAAGTGTTACTCGCGTGCAAGATAGCGTTATAACTGAATTGTTGTATAGAACACAGGATTAACAGGGGATAATGATTTAATACCTGGTGAAATTGAATATTTACAGTGGACATTCTGTCCTTTTCTTAAGTAATTACTTGATCAACATGTAATTGGGTGTAATTAAGAGGGAGCAATTACATTCTTCAATTCTCAGGGAGGTGAGAATTGCTTGTAACAAGGTAACATTTTAAATTTTAATTTTTAAAAAAATAAATAAATTATTCTTTTTACATTATTTCTCAACCCATTTCTTTTCTTCTCATTTCTCAACCTTTCTTCTAGTGCTTCCATGTAACTTTGTAACTTCTCATTGCTTTCTTCCTTATTTATTTTTCTTTATTTTCTTCATTTTGCTTAATTGAACTACTATTATTCTAATTTCTTGAAGTCATGTCTCCTGAGTTCTCAACAAACTGAACTATATTAAGATTCCATTAAAGCTGGGTTCATTGTTTAATGAGGTCTTAGCCTTGTGCTTTTTTTTTTTCCCTTTTGAATTATCTTTAAATTAATATAAATATTTACTACAAAATATACTTTCTAAACTCATAAATTCTTATCTTTTGTTATTTGAAAAAATGCAACGAAGCATGAACTTAATACTATATTCACATGAATTAGTAAACAATTCAAATTCTTAATTGGAACTTTTACTAATGAATTGAAATTGAAATATCATGTATTTTGGAGCTTCCAATTATCTTTTACAATATTAGTTACAAATCTGTAATTATTTAATACTATATTTTCAAGAAATGATATGGATTTTTTATAAGGTAAGTAGTTTTATTAACAATTGGGGAAACCCCGTATGCACGTTGTATACCAAAAGAAGAGAACTTGCACCAAAATATCGTTCTCAACAAAGGAGACCCAATCCTCTATACAAGTAGGGACCTCATGAGTACACCAAAAAGAAACTAAAAAGTAAAGACTACTTTGCAATTTTACAAAGTCTTGTTCCACCCCTTCAAAAGCTCTCCTATTTCTCTTTCCACATAATCCATATGATTACCTAATATTTCTTATGTAGACACCTACTTGTCAAACACTAATGTTTATTTACTTGTTCATATGAAAAAAAATAAATTTATGCGAGAGTCGAGGCTGGGATGGTTCGGGCATGTTAAGAGGAGACAGTGTTTTTAAGAGCGAGAAGCGCAAAAAAGCGACAAGGGCTCGCCTCGCTTCAAAAGCGAAGCGCACGCTTTATTAAAGTGAAGCGCAATTCTTAAAAAACATAATGTAAACCTTGCAAAGACACAATATAAAATTATAAATAATCAAAAAGTTCAATTTAAAAATTTAAAAGTAGGTACTATGTACCACCAAATCCTCCACAAACCATAGGACAAGCAAAATCAAAGCTACTAAATTATTAGAATCAACATCTTATTCTTCTACTCTTCTTGTTCTTCTTCAAGATTGTCAAAATCTTGAATTCCTCTATTATCTTCATATTGCTCGTCATCTTCTTCTTCCCCCTCCTCTTCCTCTTCATGATCACTTTCATCTTCATCAATTAGGGATAGGGATCGACTTGTAGTCGCCACACTTTTTTCCTTCCTAATCGAGCTTGCACTTGAAGTATTCCCCCTTAAACCATAAGGATTCTCCCCAACTCCACTAGCAACCGCAACAATCACCCCAAGTGAAATTAGAGTCGCCTTCAAATACTTCTTCATCTTTACAATTTTCGGGGACTCCGGTTAGCCACTCATTAGCCTCATCAATATTGTCCAAAAGAATTGGATCAATTAGATTGCGGTGGTTGTAGCGACGCCTCAATGCTCTATTGTATTTTATGAACACAAGATTATGGAGGCGCTTCAAGGTTAGTCGATTCCTCTTCTTTGTATGAATCTACAAACAAGATGTGTCAACTAATTAGTAGGAGTTGGGACAATTGAGATATAATTTACTTTATCTCAAAACACGAAATAATTCTTTTTATTTCTCACGTGTTCAAAAACGCTGCAGTTCCTTTCACATCCGGATGAGCTACAGGTTAAACTTAGAACTCTGATGGCGAAAGTTTGTAAATCCGGAGTCTCTACACCATATTGGTCCCACCACTTAACTATAGAAGTGAAAAAAAATATTCAAGAGTTAATAAGTATAAAAAAAATATTAAAGTTAGAGCTATAAAATATAGAAGCACTTGGTCACCTGGCGACTTCGTCTTTCTTTGTTTAATAGCAAGTCAGAGCTTAAAAAGTCCCTCAACTGCCTTGTAAATAGCAAGTTGATCTACTATCTTTTCTTGCAAGCCTTCATCTGGGGTCAACTTGATAACAACCTCATGGAATCTTGTCCACTCTTCTCTAGCCAATGAATTATTCTCATGCTGATCATAAAAGAGTGACGGGTTCAGAATAAGTCCAGCTGCATGCAAGGGTCTATGAAGTTGCTCACTCCATCTTGCATCAATTATCTGAAAGACCTTTGCATATTTCTGCTCATCAGTGAATGATGCTTGAATAGCCTCCTTGGCCCTATCCATAGCTTCATAGAGGTAGCCCATTGGTGGTTTTTGCTCCCATCCACCAAACGGAGTACTTTAACCAAAGGGCCACCAATTTTAAGAGCATGAAGGACATTATTCCAAAAAGAATAAGAAAGAATAATGCGTGCAAAATCTTTCCCCGCACTTTCCTTTGCAAATTTACTCTTGCTCTATTCCTCTAAAGTGAACAACTTTCTCAAATTGGATTTTTGCAAGTGGATACTATGCAAAGTCAAGAAAGCAGTGGCGAACCTTGTCTTGCCCGGTTTCACCAAATATTTTTGTCTGGTGAATCTTCTCATCATATTCAATAACAAGGGCCGCTGAGAAATATAAGAATGTACCCTAACACCCTGGCCAAAAACTGTAGAGAAGGGGCTTTCCTTGAAAATGTCCCCGAATATTAAGTTGATACAATGAGCCGCACATGGAGTCCACTAGACATTTTTGTACGCTCCTTCCACCATGCCACCCGCTTTCACATTTTCACTCGCATTATCAGTGACCACTTGAACAACTTTGCTTGGGCCAATCTTTTCAATGGTGTTCTGAAACAAGGTGAACATTTTGATGTGGTCAGTGGATGANACCACTTGAACAACTTTGCTTGGGCCAATCTTTTCAATGGTGTTCTGAAACAAGGTGAACATTTTAATGTGGTCAGTGGATGACTCGCTAGCATTAATTGACTCAAGAAGCAAACTTCCTTTGGGAGAATTCACCAACACATTAATAATCATTTTCCCAGTTCTTGCCGTCCACTTATCCATCATAATGGAGCAACCATACTTGTTCTACGCAACTTTATGTTCCTTCATAATTTTATTAGTCTTCTCCACTTCCTTATTTAGATAAGGACCTCTGATTTCATGATAAGTGGG